AGAGATGCTCAGTTGTCTATTTATTTTCTTAAAATGGATTTTTGGTGAGTGCGAAATAAATGATTAAAGTTAGTCGTTAATAAACACGTTAAGTTAAGCATTGGTTGTGGGATTCAAATGGTGTCAATAATCCCATGTGTTCATTGCTATTCAAACATTTGGTTCTAGGATGGTTTATTATACGATTATTTGGTGGACCATCAGATATGTTCCATAAATTTATATTTATAAAAATCAATGATATGCAATAATTTCTCTATTGAACATCGAAACCAGAAAGAGTAAGATGCATTTGTTGAAGGGTAAACTGGATAATTAGCGTTGGTGAAGAAAAAAACTGATAATTACGTATGAGCGTCCATTGGCGCAAAGATCAAAAAATTATAATTGCAAACAGAAAACCTGATAAAATATAACAAAAAACTGATAATTTGAGAATCTATATACAATCATTATGAAATATAACAAAAAACTGAATTAGAAACTTTGTATAACTATATGCACCTGAAGGAATCTATATACAATCCCTAAATATGCGAGTTGAAGAAACCGAAAACGAGAATTATGGCGCAAGACTTGTTTTCCTGATATTCATCAGAGCCCAGAAAAGCATCACCACACGCTCCACCCTCACTACAAACCCGCCGTGCAGTGGTGCTCCATACCTAACAAAAATTTAAACAAGACACTAATAATAAAAAATGTATACTAAATTACGACAATTAAAATAATAATACACGTATTCTCTCGGAAAACACACTAATAATAGTAACAGAAGCAGGCACGTAGCAAATCTTTGTATAACTATATGCACCTGAAGGAATCAATGTATGTAGATATCGTCTCAACATCAATTCCACATGCCTGTGCGCGCTCAGTCAAAAGCTCGGGCACGTGAACAAGCTGAGCCCCTGATATAATTTCCTCACCTGAAAAAAAAAAAAAGTACTCGTAAATTTGTTCAAAAAAGGTAAGATTGAGGATCATTAAACATTTATATACATTTCATTTGCTTCCTATAAATTGATACTTCTAAAGTAATCCTTATAGTTAATTTGCACAATCTGTTAAACATGCAAGTTAAACATTAAAAAAATGTATTGGCTTCTGCTTTCATGAAATGCAATTACAGAAATGAAATTATAATAGGAATGTGCACTCAAGACCTGCAAGAAGCATGGGCTCCTGCATATGGATAAGTTGTATATTACCTCGGATGAAAACATCAAATGAGTTGCTGTAGTTTGGATTATCAACGCACGGCATAGTATAGAATGGCCTTACATACGAAGGATAGCGGTGAAGGATAAAGAACTCCGTGTCATACCTACAATCACAAACAAATAGATATGATACTATTACCAATTATATACATGATTCTCATATCGATGCTTTTGTCAGTGGCATTTCCGTCCTTTCCCCTCGGATCATCTCTTTCATTAGTTGGAAAAAAAAAGCCATTTTTCTTTATTTTTATTCTATTTCTAAAATTTATTGCCATTTCTAATGACAAGTACAATAAGATGAACCTTCACAATAGTTTTCTTCTATTATGGTAGGGTTAATAACAGTTTTGTTTTCTTCGCAATAGTTTATCCTTTTAAAGTCATCACAACCCATGGATTGTTTATCATGAATGGGTAAGTTGACAATGAAGAAGATTAAATGATGACCCAAACCCGTTAATACAAAGATACAGAAATGAAGAGAAACAATAAGATAAAATTGTCATACTTCTCAAGTACAAGCTGGCCAAGCTTTCTCTTTGATTCTGTGTTGAGATCTCCAAGGGGATCAATTTCAACGCCAGCTTCCTTCAATGAAAATCCAGAATTTGTTGAGAAAAAAGGATAAAAAGCTATAATTCAAAGTGTTAGAAGAAAGCATAAACGTTAATAATTGGTACTCATGTCCAGTCACAAAATTACATAGATGTGTCTCTCAACGTGTGCAAGTTGTGTGAGTCATATAGCTATATTAGTGCTTATATTACAATTTACAAAAATGCATGTGCACGCACAATCTCAGGCAAAGCGAATACAGTGAATCTCATTATCTAAGGGAATCAGCAAAACATTTCAGCCAATGTTCCATTCTATGTTCTTATATCAAATAACAATTTACATATATGCATGCCAAAGCCATGCTAACATATTACATTGACAAATAAAAGCTAGTACACATCATTCAACACTAGTTTCATGTACAGTTCCTTGTTTCATGTTGCATTATGACTGCATACCATTTTGTTATACTTATACCAGCTTTTTTTTGCATTAACATATGCTCAGGTTCACAGATTAAGTATATTGATTATCCTAGCATTTTCATGCAAAATCATAGAAAATGGACAAGAATATGAAGCCTTGTGAGTCTATACTACCAATTCTACAAGTATATAAATTATAATATCTGTAAAAGTACCAATCAACTCATTTGAGTGACCTAGATCGTAATATTTTAGAAAAATGATTTTGATATTTATTTACAGATATATATCAACATTCATCTTGTTCTCTCACCTTCAGCATTCGCACCCCTTCTTCAAAGGTAAGCCGTAAGGTCTTGCGCAAATACTGCATATTAAAAATTTATTGAGTATCATTGAATAAATAAAAACAAGATGATAAATATATGGATAGAGGAATAGCACCAAGATAATGACTACCCCGAGGGATAATGCATTTTCTCAGTGATTTTAGATCACTACTACTTAATATAAAAATAAATAAATAACATAAATTTGATCGTGACTCAACCTTCAATTTCGGAAAAGGATATTGCCTATTGATAACTTCAAGCTCCTTAGAACATGTCTCATTCAAACTGTCAAACATCGCCACAAATAAGCGATCCACAACATCCATCACCTGCACAAATGATCCCAGATCATATCTCACAAAACCCAATCTACAAAGTAGGTTGAAGCTAAGATAAAATGATGCATAATTCTGAATAGTGCTCCTTATCTCCATTTCTACATCAAGACCTGTGAATTCACACAAATGCCAGTGTGTGGATGATTCCTCTGCCCTGAAGACTGGTCCGATCTCAAATACACAGCCAAAACCACCATAAATAAACATTTGTTTGTGAAGCTGAGGTGCTTGTGCCAGGCATGCAGGTGTTCCTTTGTTTAATTTTAGCGTGTGGATCTCCACAAAGCCTTCAGACAGCAAGAACTGCCTAAATATCTGCATGAACATGTAATAACAGTGAGGATCCCAACAACACCAGAGTTCAGACAACAAGGCCTTCACACACATATAAATTTATAGGTTCTTGAAATCAAGACTGGGTCATTAAGGTAAAGAAGACAATGTGAGACTATGTTTACGAGAAAAAACTCCGTGTACGTCATTTTATAAGTACAAAATAAGGGAAGATATCCATGTATATGTATTGAATCAAGTAATTAGAGTAGGCATATAACTAGTTGTATACTCCTTAAGAATGTGAAATATCCAAGGAAACAATCTAAATAATTTCAAGATATGTGTTAATGTGTGAAATAGCTTATAGCTTATTTGGTTAGCTTATAAGCTTCTTGTATTCAAATAAACTTCGTTTGGTAGCTTTTTTACAAAGCTCGAGCTTATCTCATAAGCTTCTTTGGGTGGTTTTTCAAATAAGCTCGTTGAAATTTTTATTTTAACTATCTTATCAGCTAATTTTACCCAACACTTTTATCATATAAGCTAGCTTTTCAGATAGAAGTCATAAGCTATTAGCTCAAAAATCACTTATAAGCTATCAACTACCTTATTGGCTAGTTTCCAAACATATCGAGGTCTGCATTACTTGCAAGATTCCATAAGGATCATAAGTTCAAATCCAGACAATAAAAAAATGGTTGCATAAAGGTTTTATAAAAGTGGAGTACGATTTTTTATAAGAAATATAGAAAAAGGAAAAGAAAAATAAATGGAACTTACATTCTGAACTTGCCTCTTAATTCTGAAAATACCCTGATTAGCATGGGTGCGCAAGTCCAGAACTCTATAATTCAAACGAGTGTCCTGATTTACACGCACGAGCGGCTCACCTGCCTGCAGTCAGAAAACACAAATCAGTTCCAAGTGCAATGTTGTATTAAAAGGACAAAGAGATGCCTATAAAAATGAGTAACGTGTGCATAAACATAGGAAAGTACCTCAAGAGCCTTTTCTATTTCGACTTCACTTCTGGCTGCATCCTCAATGTTGAAGGGCAGTGTGGGAATAGCCTTGTTCACACAATAAAGCTTCCTCACTTGAATCTCCACCTATAAGAATCAAAACCAAATATAATATAATAGACTAATAAAGTGCAGGAACATGATTGCATTTCCTAAAAGTACATTATAATGAAAAAACGATTTGATAATAGAACAGCGAGCAAGTATCAAGTAGCCAGATTCTTAAAATGCACGACCATGGGTGTATCTCTTTGCTTATATTTTATACCATGAGACCACATATAAAATGCAAATGCAACAAGTAGCCAGCTTCACGAGAAGCCACAATCACATAAAACAGATAAGCCACACACAATAAACCAGAAACACTTCCAATACTGCGATGAAGGACCTGTCACCAGGTAATTTGACATGTTATCTAGTAACTATGGCCTATTTTAATTCCTGTAATATCAACAAATGCTTTTAAGCATCAAGAAGCTCATCTACATTCAAAGTATTTCATATCCTCTCAACAATTTTCAACACAATCATGAAAAACAAACACAAAAGCACACTGAAACGCTAAAACCTTTCAGGCGAGTGGCGAACTTCACCATCTGCGGGCTCACCAGATCCTGCGCCACAGTCAAGACGCACTGCACCGTAAACCCCCTCTCCCTCACCACCACGAACGCCACCTTCTTACCCACGGCCCGGATCGCCTGCGCGGCCCGTATCAGCACCTCCTGGTCCTTCAGCCGGGCGGTCAGGTCCTTCACCTCCTTCCACTTCTTCCCGGAGATTTCCTTCGACTGCAGTTCGTTCAACGGGATCTCGCCGTAGTTTGCCGCCAATGGGTCGGCTTCGATGGTCACGGAGGTACTGCGGCGGCGGCGGAGGCTGCGGTCGCCTCCTGACAATTGCGCTTCCGGGATGGCTCCTCCGACGACATGGGTTGGTGATGAAAGAGACGATTGAGGCGAGTATATGTGGAAAAATGGGAGTGCGGCTGGTGAATATTCTTGGCTTTTGCTGCTTGATTGTTTATGAAATAATTTACTCAATTTTACTTCTTACCCAATTTTACTTCTTACTCAAAATCTAACTTAATTTTAATTCAATCTCACTATCTTTAATTTATATAATTAAATAATATAAATTAATTATTTTTTAAATATCACATCAATTAATTATTCATTCACTCATATAATTTTAACTACCTATCATTTTCATTCATTTATCTTATATTTTCACATCAAATCAATTTTAATCATTTTATTTTAAATGTTATTCTAATTTATTTTTAAAATTCCACTAACAACTATCTATATCACTTTTTTTTAAAATTAACTATAATTAACTAAAATAACTCATTGTGAACAAATTATTTCATAAACAATCAAGTCCTAAATAGAGAATAGGAGATGAAAGGGTTGAGGGCACAATTTTACTGCTAGGGTTGCAATGTTTTTATTTATAAGTTTTTTTTTCTTTTTAAAAGAGGATCAATCTATCTCTATATATAGAAATATTAATACGAATCTCGTGCGACCGTAGATAATTATAATATTTATATTAAAAAAATATTATTAAATAATTTTTTAAACTAAAAATATGGAATTTACCTATATTAACTTATTAAAAATATAATGATGAAATGTGAATTGTACAAAATTACATAAAACATGTCTATTTAAAATTAGTACACAATAGGTTCGGAGCACGTAATTGATAATAAATTACATTATATTCATTTCAAAATAAGTGTCATTTTAAAATCTTTATTCAGAAATTTGATTTGTCAACAATGTGATTGAATATAATAATTATTTTGGTAGGATTTTATCATGTATTGAAATATCTATGTGAATAATAAGTATAATATAAAACTTATATTGTTACATTAATTAAAATGAAATTATTTTTGTATAAACTATCCAAATCAAAAATTTAAGTAGTTGAGTAATTTATTAGAATATAAATAATTGACTATTCCATTTACGTTCAAGTTAATATTGACCCATAAGTTATGAATAGTTACTTATTTAAATTTAAAATTTGAAACTCAAATTTGGACTACACAATAAACTCCCTTATATATTTTTAATTTTTTAGATTTGTTGTCAGTTACATTATTGTTTAAATTTATTAATTTTTGTCAGTTAAAATACAATATTTGTTAATATTTGTTTATATATATATACTAGTACGAATCCCGTGCAACCGTAAGAGATACTTATAATATTTATATTAAAAAATCTTATGAAATAATATTTTTAAATTAAAATTATAGAATTTACCTATATTAACTTATTAAAAATGTAATATGAAATATGAATTGTACAAAATTACATTAAACATATCTATTTAAAATTAGTACACAATAGGTTTGGAGCACGTAATTGATAATAAATTACATTATATTCATTTCAAAATAAGTGTCATTTTAAAATCTTTATTCAGAAATTTGATTTGTCAATAATGTGATTGAATATAATAATTATTTTGGTAGGATTTTATCATATATTGAAATATCTATGTGAATAATAAGTATAATTATAAAACCTATATTGTTATATTAATTAAAATGAATTTATTTTTGTATAAACTATCCAAATCAAAAAATTTAAGTAGTTGAGTAATTTATTAGAATATAGATAATTGACTATTCCAATTACGTTCAAGTTAATATTGACCCGTAAGCAGTGTTTTTCAACCCTGACCGGTTCTGGCTTCCGGTCCTGGGCTAATTAGACCGAGCAACAAAGGACCCGGCCTTGCCCCGGTCGCCCCGGGGCATTGACCCGGCTGGGTCAACCCAGTTGACTTGGCCCCTATAATTTTTTTTTCTTATTTTTTATTTTTTATTATATATTTTGTTTTGAAAAAGTAAAACTATGTAATATATTTATATGATAAATGTTAATCATGAAATACATATTATTAACACTTTAATGTAAAAATTTTATATACAAAACATTTAATTTTCACTTTTATGTATATTTATATGACAAAATACTCTATATATATTTTAAAAAATTTTAAAATTTATTATCCGATTCAACAATTGACCCGGTGACCCGGAGACCTGCCCGGGTCGATTCCCGGGCCGGATTTCAAAACTATGCCAGTAAAATATGAATAGTTACTTATTTAAATTTTAATTTGAAACTTAAATTTGGACTGTGTCCCTTATATATTTTTAATATTCTAGATTTGTTGTCAGTTACATTATTGTTTAAATTTATTAACTTTTGTCAGTTAAAATACAATATTTGTTCAAAAATCTTTCTAATTTTCAAGAGAAATGCATAACAATTTGCCGAATTATCATCAATATTTTATGCCAAGTTATTATGACGTTAAAATTTGATAATCATACCACATTGGTTTTATAACAAATCAACCTAAATTGAACTTTCATACCATACAAAATAAAATTTATACAATTTATTTTGTTTTTAAAATTTTCAAATATACTTCTATCCACACCAAATAAAATTCATACCATTTAAATTAAATAAAGACATTCATGCTCAAATGAAATCACCACTTTATATCATAAGTTGGAACATTTCTTTTTTGCCCATTTGCTAGCCCAGTCCACCCCCAATGCTCCAGCCCATACTTTTCTCGTTGATTGACGGCCTTTTATTTTTCCTTTGTAAAACGAGTCACGACCCAACCCATACTTTCCTGTCATCTCTCCTTCTTCTACTCTTAGTCTCCCGATTGGCGAATTCCCAGCCGAATTAGGGTTTTCAAACTCGAAATTGTAACAAGGGTTCATGTGTAATTGCGAGACATTTGGGGATCTCAGATTCATTCCTCGTATCTCACCTGCGCCGGAAGCTATCGCCGGACGGAGCCACTGCGCCGCCATTCCCGCTGCCGAGCCTCTACCTTTCTAGCCAACTCGCCGGCGGTGAATCTCTGCCTCTGTGGAACCACTTCGCCGACGACAAATCTCTCTCTCTCGGTCGCCGCCTTGCGGGCTCTCTGCCTCTCTTAGATTTTACTGTTTTTGCCGACGCCCTCCGGTCAGAAGCTGTGGCAGGCTGGTAGCTTCTTGTCGTCGTCGAGGTTGGGAATTGTTTTTGTGATAAAGTATGTCGAACAAGTCGATTAGCGGGAAACTGAGATGAATTTTGTTCTGTCAATTGCCAAGTGAAATTGTGGAAAGTATAATTTGTGGTGTGTACAAAATTGTTTTTTTTTTTAAAAAAAAAAGGCGGGCTGGCCCCCGGCCCGCCGAAACTCGCGGCCCGCGCGGGTCAGCCCGTTTAAGCCCGCTCTTTAGCGGGCATTCAAAATGTCAACCCAGCCCACCCTTTAGGCGGGGTGGGCCGGCCCGCGGGCTCAGGCCCGTTTTGACAAGCCTACTTTGATTCCTACGCGTTATGCATTTTCTCGAGTGAGATGTTCTTAATTTTATCCACCTTCATTTGTTATTACTCTTTCTATTCTTTTTAATCAGATTTGGTCCAAATGTCTGGTGTTGATGGTTCCCAAGTATTACGCGTGGTGGCTGCAGTTGGTGCTACTGTTATTGGTGGAAGTTTTGCTCTTGGTCTGGTGATATCTTCCATTTCCGAACGTGTTACACTGTATAAAAAGGTTACAAAAATCCATCGTTCAAAATCTTTAAAACGATCTTATCTTAGATTTCTTATGAAGTTCTACTTTTTTTTCCCCTTGTGTTCCCTATGTTTTTATGTAGCGTTTTGTGAATCTACTTGTTTTATATAATTCATGTTACTTTTGTAGAAAAAACATGGGAAGCCATGCCGGTTTTGTAAAGCAGTGGGTTACTATGCGTGCAAGCTATGCAGAGGAAATGGCACCCTAAAGTGGTCCCCTCTCTTTGACCCAGTATATATAAACCCTTGCGTGTGCCCAACTTGTGATGGATTCAAGTGAGTAATTTCTGGTTTCACCTTTTTTTTTTTTAATTTTATTTTGTGAAAGCTGAAAAGTATCGTCGTCGTTGGGTTATATGGAACAAGTTACTGGAAGTGTTATTCTTACATCAATCATCTTTTCTTGTTTTTCTGTTGTTATTTGCAGGGTTCAACGCTGTCTTAACTGCTTGGCCTGTGGTTTTACGTGACTAATGTGGGTGAGTTGATTTGTGTGTTTTGCTGTTATTATTCTGGGATTTTGAGTTACAATACTATATTGAAGAACGTTAACCTTGTCCGGGAAGTCAGTATGAGCATGTTTTTTACTACGTTTTTATAGTCGAGTACTCAGGCCTTAAATATTCAAATGCTACTTTCTTTAGCTGAACTTTCTGATACGTGAAACAATGACATTCTCTTCGAACTTTCTTCTCATGGATAGATTTGTCGGTTTTTCTTTGCTTGGCAAAGTTGGCTTTTGGGCTAAAATGCATGTCAATTCGAGTGAATGCATATTATGTAAGAAAAGTCTGAAGATGAGCTTTATGGTACATAGATTGCCATACAGATAATCGAGCAAAGAAATTGCTTCATCTCACGAGTTGTTATGAGGCATGATAACAGCTTGGTTCGATAATGTGATGGAACATATTTATGATAAAAAAGGATCCATGACCCCTAAAATGAATAAATGAACTATTAAAAGAGAATATCGTGCTTTATCTTGTTTGTAAGGCCAATCCTAATATTAACGCGTCATCTATACTTTTAGAGAAGCGCAACGATATATATATATATATATATATATATATATATATATATATATATATGTTCGGTTTATACTTTTACGTTTTATGTGGGTGTGTTGAAAATGAGAATATGTGCCTTACTGCTTTTAAGAACAGTTTCATAGTTGAATCATGATTGGAGCAAAATTCTATATTCACTCTTAAGAGAAATATTATTTCCATTTTTATTTTCTCGATTTTGTTATTCTTACGGTTCAAGTTCCAAGTACCACCAGAAGTTTTGCCAGTAGAGCATAATGTTCTATTCATATCTGATATTCAGTGTCTCTAATGTTGTCTTTGGTCAACTTATTGATTGACGCCACATTCTCGTTTTTCTTCGTTTTACTTGTCATCTTTGCTAGGTGCAGCTTAGTTAAACTTGGTGAAAGATCTTGGTTTAGGTTTCGTGAGAGGCTTATTGGACTACAAAACTTCCTTATTCTTGAGACAAACGGGTGGACGATTAATCGATAACATCCTCAAGTTTAAAGACAAGTTTCGCTCGTTTTTTGTGGTGAGTTTCGGATATAAAGAGTGTAGATGTATTCGGTGGTTCGGGTTGACGTGATAATACTTCTTGTATTACTTCCGAACTTTTAATTTGGAGAGATATTTTTTTATTTTTTTAAGATAGTCTGCAAAATCCACTCTATCAGCGTGAGTTTTCCACCATCGGATCAGCACACAAACGTGAGTGTGTTTGAGTGTTTGATCCAACGGTGAAAAATTCGATTTGGGCACACGATCGAATTGCCCCTTTGAGACTTCAAGACACTAGGTTTTCAATGTGATCTAATTTTTTCATATTCTTGCTGTCTGTATAGGTCAAGGCTAGTGGTTTTTTTATTTTATTTTTTTAAATTGAGGACATTTTTGTATGATTGAAATAAAAATATATATAATAGTATTTGATGTAGAACGCGTTACGATTGGGAAGGGTTTTGAAATACTCTCTCAAGAACTGATGAAATTGAGATACTCTCTCAAGCAGATAAAATTTTTTCAATCGTAAAAAAACTGACTTTTCTCTTGTCCACATAACATATAAATGAAAAGAAAAATTAAAGAATCCTAATCTTGTCCCACAACTGCAAGATAATTATTTTTCTACCTAAAATACTAATTAACTAAAGGAAATAAAATAAAAGAGTACGAATAATAATGAGACAATAAAATCGACTAAACCCGAAGGCGGTCATATTTATTCAAACATGCAATGGCGGGCTCGGCTTCATCATCCTCCCCGGTTAAGGAGGATTTGGCCAAACCGGTCTCGTCTTCTTCCGAGTTGTCCCCCACAAATGGCACCAAATGCTTGACGTTAAAAACGTCAGATGTACGAATATGAGAAGGAAGACGAAGACGATAAGCATTAGGATTGATTTTCTCAATTACCTCGACCGGTCCAATCTTCCGGGCCGACAATTTGTTATACTCGTGGGCCGTGAACCGATCCTTCGTCAATACGGCCCAAACGTAGTCACCAACCGAGAACTCCACATGGCGACGTCGCAAATCCACTCGGCGCTTGTATCGCGGTAGTGGCCTCCAACCGAGCCCGCGCCTTCTCGTGGGTAGCCTTCAAATCAGCAATAAGGTTGGCAGCCCGCCGATCGGCCACCTCCCCGGGCGGCAAGCTCAACAAGTCGGACAGTCCCTGGGGTCTAACCGCATAAACAACCTCGAACGGGGACAAGCCCATGGCCCAACTGATAGCCGAATTATGAGCAAATTTAGCCTGACTCAACCGCTGGTCCCAACTGCGAATATCATCACCTACCAAGCAACGAAATAGGTTGCCCAACGACCGATTCATGACCTCCGTCTGGCTGTCCGTCTGGGGATGGTATGCACTACTGAAATCCAAATGAGTGTTTGCCATGCGCCATAATACGCCAGAAGTAGCTGAGAAATCGCGTGTCGCGATCCGAGACGACCGAGGACGGAAGGCCATGGAGACGGTACACCTCCCGGAAGAACAACTGAGCCACGTGAACCGCATATGTGGTCCGCTTGCAGGGGATAAAGTGCACCATCTTCGAGAATCTTTCTACAACGACAAAAATGGAGTCGAAACCACGCTGAGTACGCGGCAAACCCAGCACGAAGTCCATAATAACGGCACTCCACGGCTGCGATGGAATGGGAAGGGATCGATATAATCCCGCGTTCGACGCGACCCCTTTCGAGACATGACAAACACGACACCGTTCCATAAATCGGCCCATGTCCCGCCGAAGGGACGGCCAAAAATAGGACCGCTCGACCAGATCAACCGAACGGTCCCTAGGCAGCTGCCTCTAGTGCTTGCCCCAAGAGCCAGCTTTAATAAAACTCTATTCAATCTGGAATCATATCATACGTTCTTAGAGATAGAAAAACATAACATGCGCTAGTATTATATGTTTAAGAATATATATATTATCAACTAATGTTTAACGGACTGATAGAAAAAATAGAAAGAGTTTGAATTTGAATTTTAAACATAATCATCTTCAAAATAAATATACCAAACAAAAATCGAGAGCAACGTTATTTTTGCCATGATCAAGAAATAGTTATGTAAAATATACGATCAATAGGCATGTATATTTTTTACGGACTTGAAAATTGTTTCGCAATTACACATTCGGATCAGTCATTTTTGTTTTTGTGATATTAAATGTATATGTTTACATACAATATATATTTTTCTCTTGCAATATTTTTGGTCTCCTTAAATTTCGCTCCATAATTATAATTATATGTATACCTAATGTCAATTTCAAAGATAAAAATGGATCTCCTTAAATTTCACTCCATTATCATAAATGATTCTTTTTTCAATGGGCGGTAAAAGTTTTCAGCTCTCAAGGTGCTTTGAATGGACATTATATATTGTGTTTACATAATCGACATATGTTGCAATAATCTTCTAATATACCTAAAAAAAATAGCTCATTTGTCAATTTTGTCTTAAAAGATCTTCTAATATATCAAACATAAACTATGGATAAATAACAAATAAACTTTGAAAACAGAAAATCCAAACATCATATCACAAAAAGTACTCAACAATTAAAACATAAACACAAATAAAAACAAAACCAAAATCATTAATATACATAATTATGAAAAATATCAAAATAATAATAATAATAATAATCAACCACTAAACAACAAATTGCTCCTTTGTCAATTTCGTTGTGTAAAAAAAAAAAGAAAACTTTAAATACATCAAACATAAACTAAGAATAAAACATCAAATAAACATTGAAACAGATCGTGAAATCTTCTAGTATACCAAATATAAACTATGAATAAATATCAAATAAATAATGAAACAAATCTTGTTAGAAGTACCATTGCTCACAAGCAAATTATCATAGTGTTACTGAAATTGTGCTGACGGGAACATATACTGTCGACACCGCAACGAGCCGATCTTCGGCCTCGCCTTCGTCATCTCCAACTTGATTTCCCTACTGGAAAGGAGAAGGGGAGGGACACGCCGCCGCCGGAGTTCATCATTGTCTCTTAGAAAAAACAACCGCATGGATCAAAAAAGAAGCCACCACATTTTCGACCACCTCCAGTGACGCCTTCCTAACAATCAAATCCCTGTAAATTTAAATATGTTGTAATACTTGGTTACATTCTCAATATCATGCTTATTGAAAGCAAAAAAATATCATCAAAAGGGCCAAAACTAAATCTTTTTTATTAAATAAATATTTTACGAACAAAAATACATAACTTATCTAATTATTTAATTAAATATGATGAATTTGCCAAATTCTCAAGAAAAAAAAAAAACTGGTAATTTGCAGATATTTTTGTCCTCTTAGAAACTCACCCCTCTGAGCAAATCCCTGTGTTGCGTTAATTCATCGATCAAATCCAAATGCTGTTAGAATAATATATGTATTTTACCATTTGGCACTTTCATTATGTAAAACACGCTTTATGTTGTACACATTTAACATCTTGTATTATGTAGAATAGACTACATATAAATAGCCTGAAACCCTAAATTGTAAAGACACTTTTCGTTTTCTTCAATACAGTTTTTCTCTCTTTTCTCTCTCATATGCTCTCTCGTTCTTCTTCTTCATCAAGCACAAATCTGTGCAGTTTTGATTCTATCATGGTATCAATCGCCTAGTATTACGATCCTATTCTATTTTTCCGCTGCACTATCTTTTGAAATCGGTTCTTCCGATCTATTTTTTTTTCATTTTTTGGTCGACAAACCCTAGATCTAACTCGATCTGCTTTGATCTAAGACTGATCCTTGTAGATCTGTACTAGATCCTTGTAGACTTATCTTGCTCGCTGTTTTCTCTGTGCGATATCTGTTCGCTGATTGATTTGTTCGATCTCTGATGGCAAACCCGACCGACGATCCAGTTTCTCCCTACTTTGTCCATGCTAGTGACAATCCTGGAGCGCTCATTGTGGCCGAACTCTTTAATGGTGAGAACTATGTCTCATGGTCGCGCGCTGTTTCTATGGCATTAAGTGTGAAAAACAAGTTTGGCTTTGTTGATGGTACGCTCTCTGTCCCTAACCCTACCCAAAATCCTACTATGTCTCATGCTTGGGTACGTGCAAATAACCTTGTTCTCTCATTGCTTTTAAACTCTGTCAGTAAGGAAATTAGGCAATCTCTTTTGTTCTTTTCTGTTGCCAAAGATGTTTGGGACAAAATTAAGTCCAGATATGCCCTATCTAGTGGTCCTCGTGTGTTTCAACTTGAAAAATCTTTGAGTTCTATGGACCAGGGTTCCCAAACCATTACTCAATACTATAATTCTTTCAAAACCTTATGGGATGAATACATTACCTATAGGCCAATATTTCGTTGTCATTGTGGTGTTTTCAACACCTGTACTTGTCACATTTTTGATGATATGATCAATGCTCAACAATCTAACTCTATTATGAAGTTCCTAATTGGCCTCAATGATTCATATTCCTCATTACGCAGTCATTTTCTCTTAACCTCTCCCTTACCATCCCTGTCCAAAGTTTATTCCCTCTTACTGCAAGAAGAAAGCCAAAGAAACCTTACCAACACTTCCAAATCCTTTGAAACCCTTGCTATGGCTGATAAAACTACTTCTCAACCTTCTTTCAAACCATATCGACCACCTATTTCCAAAGATAAAAAGAAACTGAAATGCAGCCATTGTGGTTACAATCACCTTTCTGAAAACTGCTACCAAGTGATAGGATATCCTCCTCATTGGAGAGGCCCTAGGGGACCTAGAATCCACCCTGATCACACTTCCACAAACACAACTGCCAACCTTGTATCTGTTCCTTTTGATACTTCTGTCCATAATTCTCCTACTGACAATCTATTTCATGAGTTTCTCGAGTTTAAAAGATCTTATGAGAACAAACAGGCACATGGAGTACAAACTGCTACTCCAGTTGTTGCCTCTGCTGCTCTAACCTCAGACAATGCAGGTACTGTTGTGTACAAATTGTTATATTACCGAGTACCGAATCGAAGGATCCGTTTCCCGGGTCGATCTCTCGAGGAAGGCGGTTCGGAATTTAGAATTGGTATTGATAACACAAAAAAGAAAAAATAAATCCTAAACACTCTAATCAGATTGGGGAGGAATTAACTATCAACTAAGAAATAGCATAAAAGCATAAACCTAAAATACCAACTAAATAATAATAAGGAAACTAGGGAATCGGGGATAATTTATTCAAGTTCGCAACGTAAAGCCAGGCAATTGATCGTTCGGTTCGGAATTGACACTCTCGCCTACACGTCTAGCGGTTCACTCCCAATAACTCTTCGTAACATGGAATTGAACATAGACGAGCAAGTTTGAGCATACAATACCGGCCAAGTATCCAATCCCAATAACTTTTCGTAACAAGGGACAAGACACCGACAAGCATGTATTTCAATCCAAA